GGTGGAGAAATCGTAAACACCATGAGATTTGCAGATGACTCGGTAATTATGCTGAGAGTATAGTAGAACTACAAACTTTACTAGATGCAATAAATAGTGAATGCATTCAAATGGGACTTAACATCAACACGGATTAGACCAAAATTATGATAGTATTAAGGAGTCCAACAAACAATGAACAACTAACCTTTGGTGGACAGCAAATAGAGATTAGTGACAAAATATAGATATGTGAGAGCTTACATCAACACAGAATTGGATCCAGATCAGGAGATCAGAGTACGAATAGAAATAGCAAGGGCAGCGTTCTTAAAATTCAAGCAATTGTTCTGTGACAAAAATCTGAATACTGCGCTGAGACTGAGGTTTGTTGAATGTTACGTCTGATCCCAACTATTGTACGGGGTAGAAACATGGACGTTAAAACCGCAAATAGTTAAGAAGCTTGAAGAATTTGAACTTTGGATATACGAGAATGTTGGATTCATGGACTGCCAGGGTCACCAATGAGGAAGTGCTGAGAAGGATGGGTCAAGACAAAAAATTGTTGAGAACAATAAAAGTACGCAAGACTGCATACCTTGGACACATACTAAGAAATGATAAATATAGTCTTCTGCAGGTCATCATGCAGGGTAGAGTCGATGGCAAAAAGGAATAGGTAGAAAGAGGAAGTCATGGCTACGAAATATTCGAGACTGGACAAACATGACTGTAGACGAATTATTCCACGTTGCAAAAGACAGAGAAACTTTTAGAAATGTAGTCGCTAACCTCCGTTAATGAGGACAGCATAGGAAGAAGAAGGTAACAAACTTTTTTAATACCTTAAAAAAACAAAAATTATCAGCCGGTGAAGCAAAGTAGTTTTGATAAATTTTTGTAACTAAACTTTTATCTTTAATATACTAAGAATCGAATTCGAATTTTTTGCATTTTCTGAGAAAATTTGCCGTAGTAAAGTATATTTTTTATACCATCAGAAAGTAAAACTTTAACGAACAAAAACTCACCGACCTAAAAAAAGCATACATTTACGTGACAATTTTCGATTGAAAATAAGGGTGTTTTTTTTTTAAATTAAATCAAAATAATGAGAAAAAATAAATATTTTAAATTAAAAAAAATTATAGTGTATTTAAGACATAAAATGTAATATTTTACTGCATAAAAACATTGGTCAAACTGGTAGAAACTTTAACAAACATATAGCAGAACATAAAAGGGCTTTCAATAAGAGAAAAATAGATTCTACGTACGCACTTTAGCTTCTAGATCATAATCATTCTTTTAACGACGAATTTGAAATTCTTCACAGTCAAAATAGACGCCATAAGCTATATTTATTATTATCTATGTAGATTATTAATTAGAAAATACAGGTTTAATTTCGAATCACTAACTTAGGACAAACAGCTCTCCTTTCTCCACTTATTCAGTTAAAGACTATAAAGTGTAGACGCATGGTAAAAATACCTCACTTTAGAAAGGCACTCTCAGCTGAAACTGCTGTAGTAAAAATAAATAAGTTTTAATAAATTTTGTGAAAGTTTTGAAAAAAAAGTTTTCAGTATTTTTCTGTTGGATAAAATAAACCTTCCATCATGTACCGGTTGAATCCATCACTTAAATATCTTGTTCTATATGTATTTATATGAATTTTATACCTAGTGAAATTCATTTATACCGTTTTGCTTTTTTCAAAATGTTTCAAAATATATAAAAAACTTAAAATTTGTAAATGATTCTTTTAAATATTAATTAACTAAAACCTTCACCCACAATAGGTATAAATCTCATGAATAAAAATTCGACGTAAAAGGGTTAAAGAACACCAGTGAACACTTAAAATAATTTTTAGTTTTGCAGAATTAGTTTTAGTTTTGTTAAGCTTATTATGATCGACAGACAGAACCAATTATTTTTGTGTAAAGTGATTTTCTATCGTTATTGAAAGAAATCTAGCGTAGTTAGTAAGAAAATCGAAGCGTAGACAATTCAGAGAATTCGTTCATTTCTTCTAAGACCCTTTTCCACTTTCCACTATGATGGGCAGCAAGCTGCGATGAAAAAGGGTCTAGATAACATCCCAAAACCGACCTTCAGGTCATAGTATGGGTATGGCGGTAGTTTGGGAAAGCAAAAGGGTCGTTAATAAATGTTGACCGTACGGCTGGCAGGCAGATAGAGAGGAGACCCAGAGAAAGGACAAAGGATTCTCGCAGGACGCAGGAAAGAGGCCAAGCGGGCGATGGGAGGGATCGTCTAAGAGGATGAGAAAGGTCCGGCAAGCCCTAAAAAGCATGAATCATGAGAGATGGATCTCGTCGGGATAAGCTCCTTTAGGACGATGGTCGGGGGGTGGGTAGAAGAAAAGATGGGGGCTGAGTGCAGTGCAGTGCGGTACATAAATATTTTTTCATATTTGTACAAATATGAAAATTAATTTTACGTTTTTGCAAAAAAATATATTTTTGTTTATTGGACTATTTATTATTATTACATGTTTATAAAAAATTTGTAAAGACGCTAACGGTGAAATTATATATGATAAAAATTCAGTTCTTAACAGATGTGCACAACATTTCAGCGAACATATAAATATAAACGATATTAAAGGAGGTTACAATATAGATAATCAACAAAATCTACAACGTCAACTACACAATGAAGACCCAATAAGAGAAGAAGTGTCAAATGCCATACTAAAACTTAAAGACAATAAAACCCCAGAAATTGTTCGGAAATGTATAAAAAAAGGTGATGATCAACTTTTTACAGATATTCATAAACTAATAGTACTTATATGGCAGAATGAATTGGTACCAGAAGAGTGGCTAGAGGAAATAATATGTCCGTTACATAAAAAGGGTGATCAACTGGAGTGTAAGAACTATAGAGGCATTACTCTGTTAGCATCTGCGTATAAAATCTTCGGCAATGTATTATTTGAAAGACTTAAACATTTTACAAAGGATATTGTTGGTCAATATCAATGCGGATTTACTGCTGGAAAGTCAACTACACATCAAATTCAAGCACATAGGCAGATTCTAGAAAAGTCACTAGAATATAACATAGATACACACCATCTCTTCGTCGACTTCAAAGCAGCCTATGACAGTGTGAAAAGAACTGCATTATATAATGCAATGATAGACTTTGGATCCCACCTAAGTTAGTTAAGTTGACCCAACTAACAATGCAAAACGTAAGCTCATGCGTTAGAATTGAAGGAGAAAACTCTACGTTCTTTGACATTAATAATGGTCTAAGACAGGGTGACGCGCTGACGTGTCTCCTCTTTAATATTGCCTTGAAAAGGCAATCAGACAATTAAATATTAGAATAAATGGAACTATTTTTAATAGATCGACGCAAATTCTCGCATTCGCTGACGATATAGTTATAGTGGCAGAAGTATGAGAGACATGGTGCAGTGTTTTACAAGGCTTGCGGACGCGGCAAGTGAATAAGGACTTGTGGTAAAATAGGAAAAAACCAAATATATGTTGGTTTTAAAAAACCCACGAAATATCCAACAGAGAATTCAAATTAATAACCATACCTTTAACCAAGTCAAAGAATTCCTATATATATATATTATATATAATATATTATATATATATTATATATATATATATATTGGAGATAGCTAGTAAACTCAACAAACACGATAAGTGACGAAATAAAAAGACGCATAGCTATAGCAAACAGAACTGTTTACGGTCTCCAGAAACATTGAAAAAAATAAAAATATAAAACGTGCAGTAAAGCTCAACATAGACAAGACCTTAATATGACCGGTTTTGATATATGGGACCTTATCTCAAATGAAAAGATTTTTTGGGACCGTAAATTAAAATGGGCTATGGCATCCAAGATACAACTTTGAACTATATCAGTTATACTCATGTGAAATTCATTAAAGTGCAGAGACTTAGATGGGCTGGGCACATTGCTAGGATGTCAGGTCGCGAATATACGAAGATATTAATATTTTCAAAATCAGAGGGCCCAAAAAGTAGCGGAAGACCACGAAGAAGATTGATTAATGATGTGGAAGAAGACCTACAGATTCTAAGGGTTAGAAGAAGGAGGGAAGTTGACAGGAATCGACAGAAGAGAGTAGGCCAAGATTCACAACGGATTGTCAAGCCACTTATGATCATGATGACATTTTTTATAATGTACATTTTTTTAATAGAAATCCAAGGATTTCCCAATTTGATTAGTTTGATATGATAATATTGTTCACTTAACCTAACTTAGTATAAATATAATTTACTGTAAGGCTTCAATTTCGGCTCAAAAACTCATGTAAAGTAATAGACCTAAAAAACAAGGCAATTTCAACCTCCACAAGAAACTATAATATATCCCTGGAATAAGAAAACTGAAAAATGCTCACGTAACTAAAAATGCAGAAGGGAAAATTTGTAATCACGAACAATAGTGCAAAGAATCTGAGCGATACTTCAGTCTTGTTGACGTTGTCGTTTACTAGGAGCAACTTCTAACGATTGCTTTTTACAGAATCTTCAAAATATAAATCTTCTGTTTGTAAAAACTCTAGTGCTAATAAATTTGTGCTTCGTTTCAAATAGTATTTGTAATTTTTTTAAGGAATACACTATTTTTAGGCAATTTTCAGAGAAGAGTTTTTTGAATCATTATTCAAAACTTATACTTTCCATATTCTCATGGTGATGTTTTTTTTTAGTATAACCAATAAATTAACAATCAGAATAAAAAATGTATTCTATAAGTTAATGTGACGAATTTAGATTCTGTGTGATGTGGAGTGAGATAATCACGTTTCCATGTTATTGGTCTGATAAGTTGGTGTAGAGGTATTATGGAATTTAATGGAGTAAGTATGTAATAACTTTTTAAATGTAGTGTAATTTCTTTTGCTGGATTACTTCTTCTAGTATTGAGATAATGAGATTCTCATAGACTCTGGTTAATTACATACCAGGATGCATCAATAATTGCTCTTAGGATTTTTGATTGATACCTTTCCATTCTAACAATATTGGATTTACTACTACAGCCCCAGTGCTCTGTAAAATGTCCATATTGGTTGGATAACTGTACTGCAAATTAAAATTTTATTATTTATTAACAGCTTAGAGACTTTTTTCCAGTTACCATTTGATTTCTTTTTGTCTTAGTTGTATTTGTTTTCTTTTTTGTTATTTATAAATAAACTATTTATGTCAAGACTTACCAAAGTATTATTTGAAAAATGATATAAACGATAAAGAAGAGACAATAACATTTACCGTGAAAAAGGAAAATAATAACACGCTACCTTTCCTGGATGTTTTAATCTCTAAGAATGATACTGGATATGAGACTCAGGTGTATAGAAAACCAACACACACCAACAGATATTTAAATTTCAAATCAAATTACAATATTTATATTAAAAAGGGAATCATTAAATCCTTATACGATAGAGCCAAAATTACTTGTTCTAATGAAAATTCGTTCTTGGAGGAAAAACATTTGTTAACATCTGTTTTATTAAAAAATTATTATCCTTTATCGTTTATAAATAAGGAATTTTCAACAATTAATCGAATAGAATAGAACAACTTAGAACGAGATCCTACAGCATACACAAGGAATAATACTAGGAAAATAACAATACCATACATAAAAGGATTATCAGAAAAACTTAAAAGGATAGGAAATAAATTCATCAAATAATTCTTTTTTGCTGTTGTGTTACTTTCAATACAGGGTTTGGTCCAGGTGTAGCCCAAGGTATTTGCTATATTTTGTTTAGCCGACTCCCACCAGACTGTGACAACACATCACATTCACCAGAAGTCACATGGGAGAAAATGTTTATTTAAGTTGCCGCTGGGCTTTTTGTTTTTTTTTTTATTTCCACTAAGGATTGGTTTCTGTTCTTTTCCTTCCCAAGAGTTGGAGTTCAGTTGGAGTTCTTTCATTGTCCGTGATTCAAAGAATTCATCTAAAAATATATCCAGAAACCAGCAGAAAAATCCTTGGCATTTCTGTGTTTAATTAATTTAAGAATTTATTAATTTTATTTCTGCTGTAAATTTTGGCGAATGTTCTATAAAAAACTCTTTTACCTTTTTTTGATCCAGGTGAATTTCTTCATCATTCAAGAGATTTGTGAGTTACTCACTATCTCGTAGCCGTTCTTTTTACTGCCTTCACGATGTCACGGGAAGATTCCGGCCCAATCAATAACATTAATCAGCTTTGTTTGGCCATTTGATCTACTTTTTCATTACTCTTATGAGCCTCGTGTCCTGGTACTTAGGCTACCGTAACCTTGCTATGGTCTTCTAGTTTATTTGGGGCATCCACACAATTCCATACTAGCTTAGAATTGACCTCTACAGAATTGAGCGTTGTAAGCGCTATCTGTGGAGATGACAATTGAACGGTACGTCCTTTTCTGCCTTTCTATTTCTTCCACGCAGTCATGGATTGCCGTTATTTCCGCCTGGAAAATTGTGACATCCTTAGAAAGACATATTGGGATATATCCCTCGCTGTGTCCTTACTATACCGGCTTCTACACCCTCAGATGTTTTTGAGCAATTAGTGTATCAGGTAGCCTCTGTTTTCTAAAACATATTCCTTCCAGTCTTCCTGCCTGGTATAATAATTTTGAATTTATTGTCAAAACTATATTTCGCAGCTGTTGCATCGATTGGTAGACCCATTACGATATCTGTCTTTAGCTCCTTGATTAGCGTTCTATTATCAGCACTATTATATGAAGTGGTGGAAGATTCAGCAGAAGTTTCAACACCGCGAGTTATTTTTATGACTCCCGTAAAACACAGACATGGTAGCCTTTGTGTGTTACTTACCAGTTTTAATGCACCCCCTTGCTGCGACTTTGTTCACCAGGTCGCAGACACATGGGTTATCATTGGTCTAATCAGTCTTGTGTATAACCAAAGAATTATTTTGGGGTTAAGTCCCCAATGTTTATCATAGATCCTTCTACATCTGCCTAAGGACATAGTAGCTTGTGTGGTTTTCAGTATGTGAATATTATATGTAAGCCTATGATCAAAATACATATACCCCTAGGTACTTTGTTTCTTTGGTAAATGGAATCCCTGTTCCTCCCAGAAATGGTGGTTTTAGGAATTGTAATGCTGTCTTTTGTGTCAAGTTGCAAATTTGTGTTTTTTGCAAAAGGTGCCAAAGTATTGGATATATATGATATCTATCTTTGGAGACTTATATATCTAAAATTTATTCATGGTCCATCTAATTCTAATTGGTCTTGTGATTGCTGTGGATACTTACCAATCAAGTCGGACTTTGGTCTATATTGCTTCGTCCATATGTACCACTTAGAATTATTAAAGCCGGAAACTGTGTGTTTATGAGTTCTCCAAGACTTTCCCTTTTGGTCTTTGTTAATTTGCCATTTTCTAACTTTACGAAACCTATTTCTTTAATGGTAGAACCATCCTCTGCCAGGACTATACATCTCTCAAAATTGACTAAAAATAGTATTTTCCTTAGAAAAATTCCCAATACTATTTGAAACAAAGCACAAAATTTTGGAGCACAGATATTTTACAAACGTAAGATTTGTATTTTGAAGATTCTATAAAAGGCAATCATTAGAAGTTGCTCATAGTAAACAATATTAAAAGGAATGTGTTGTTGCTGTGCCTCCTTATTTTTTTATTCAAAACTCAATTGAGCTATGAGCTCAACCAAAAGTAATTTTAAGAAGAAAGATGGCTCCGAAATTTTCGTTAGCTATTTTCCAGTTAATTATACAATAAGTAATAAAGATTCAGCGAAAACCTGAAAAATATTTCTGTCTGTCGACATTTCATAAATTGCATTGGTGCAATCTATAGATTATCTTCATGTCTCCAAATTATTCCACAAATTGTTATAAACACTATTTTTAAAAATTCGCACTGTCTATATATTAGACCTCAGTACATGTACGACACTGGTAGGGGTAAGGAACGAACGTGGATGAGAATCTTGTAGTTTTCGTCCGAATAAAAAGTTTCCTGGCGACAAGCGTCTGTCTTTGGGTGAAGTAGAGAAATGACTCGCAGAGCTGGCGGAGCGAGGATTAGTAATTTATTAAATATGTGACAGACTTGTGATGTGGGTAGCTTGTGCCTGGAGAGTTGGATTTTTGGATTTATATTTCATGCGGATATGTTTAGAAAGTTTCTTTCCATTCCGTTTAATATTAGATATGGTCTGAATATGGCCTTTATGTTGTGTATCACATTGTAAAGGAATACTTTTAGATGCCGAGGTTATTTTGTACCTACTTTGGTAGACATAATTTGTTTTATACTACCGACACTAAGATCTAAAACATCTTTTTTGATAACAATTTTAACAAGTCTTTTATTTCATTTTTTTTTAATTTACTTGTTTTAAAACCTACTTTTACCTAATATGATGGTTAATTTTCATTAGGGTTAGTAAATATAAGCAATAGTGAATGTCTTGAATCACGTAAGTTATTAAAACGACCAATGTTAGAGTATCAATTTGTTGACCGTTTGCATCAGTTAATGTTTACAACTTTGTTGTATTAAATGCAATATTATTTTATTTTTAGATTTTGAGTATAATTCTAGAGACAAACTTTTCAAAGATAATAGTTCATCCATTTACGGTCACAATATCTTGAAAACTTTTACACACAAAGAGTAGATAACGTTCTTTCAACACAGACGCATCAAAAAAATCGCGTCGGTAAGATGGAACTGGGCAGGACACGCCGCCAGATTATCAGACAACCGATGGACAAAACGTATTGTCGAGTGGATACCAAGACAATAAGCATTGCGGGGTAGAGGACGCCCGCCAAACAGATGGACTGACGACCTGAAGCTTGTTGCAAGCCGCACAAGAGAGATACATATGAGAAGAGCTGAAAGAGACCTATGTCCAGCAGTGTACGCATACAGGTTGATGACGATAATGATCATTTTATTAAGTTGGTTTCTTTGTGCATAAATATTTTTATTCTGACCATGCCAACTTGCTCTTGAGACGAGCAAGCTGATAGTAGGTTTGATTTATAAGTTTAGATTTATGGAGGTTTTAAAACACCCCATACGTTTAACAGAATAGTAATATAATATATAAAATAAAACCACTTGTACGTTTTACTTCATAAAATGGAGCCCAACGTGGGGCCAACCTACCCTTGAGGCGAGCTGGCCAGCGTAGACATTTATACGTTTAAGTATGTAGAAGAAGTAAGATAAATTTTTACTAATGCTAAAGTAACCGACACTAAATTTTCAAAAAAGTAGTCTTGGTACACAAATAAATTAATTAGTCTAAAAATAAAGTATAGATAAACATGCAATACTTAACCTTTCGTTGAACACAAATCAATTAACTAAAAAACACAAGTAAATATGATCCTTTTTTGCTTTAAATATACTCCTTTATTGTAACAACACATATAATGTAATAAATACCTACTGCTAATAAACTAAACTAATACGTTTAACGCGTTTTCAGTAACTTTTTAAAATTATCTTGCATGAGAATTTTCAGGTAACAATTTACAAAAAAAAACGTGTATATACCTCCAATGTATCCCAATTATTGGTTTCAACTTTAAATAATTACATTATTATATGAGGCACAACAAAACTTTAACCAGAACTAACAAAAATCTATCTACACCAAAAATATTTTGATCTGTAGTAAACTAACAAACTAAGTTATTTGACACATTTTAAACAGTAAATTAAAAAAATTGGCTGCCCCGGGGGACTATAAATTGTATAGTAGCGTAACATTCTTAAGTCCTATATTATAATTATTATGGGATGCCCATTACGTCATCTTTCCTTGGAACTAAAGACTTCTTTTTTTTATTATCTTTCTAATCTCAATTTTTTTAGCCGTGATTTACTTAATATTCCGTTACTGTCTTTCTGCGTTTTAGTTTACCCATTTTCCTTATCGAGAAGAAATCTGTGACGAAAAATTACCCAGTCATCCTGGAAAGGAGTTGAGGCATTGGACCAGTAAATCCATTCTCGGAAAAGACAGAAATGCTAAAAACCTTAGGAGAACACTTCATAACTCAGACGAATAGAAACACGAATTAAAGCTTAAAAAGGGAAAATGTATCTAAAAATCTTATTTAAACAAGCAAGAAGAAACGCAACAAAATTCAATACCTTGCAGATTAGGTACATATTGATCTTCAACCTTAAGCGGGGCATCCACGTTCCTATTTGAAGTTCTACTAAGAACTAATGGTTGGATAGACAGCTCTACTCACGTTCCGACTTGCTATCATACTAGTGCTCTAAGTTCAGTCCTTTTTTGTTTTCACGGTAATGGAAATCACTCAGCTAAGAAATATATCGAGTAAAGTGTACGCAAAATATAATTAGGAGGAGAAAATGGCAGCATTGTGCTTATTAGCTCCATCATTAAAAAAAAAAAGATTTGATGAAGAAATCATACGTTGATCATGTAAACTCTTTTGGCACAAAACTGCTCAATGTCATTGATGAGCATGATTACAGAAACTACCTCAGAAAGGACAACTCCACTCTTCTCGCTGTTGCTGGAAGAAGTTGGTCGACTTATTTTCAAAAAAGATAATTGCATGCATTAATGTTTCAATGCTGAACAATGCTTTATAGTAACTTTGCTGTTAGAAAAATGCACCCAATTAGGCACATACACTTTGTCTGCTTTATGTTCTCTGAAGATCTCGTTCTCAGTGAATCAATTTTTGTACGTACAGAAGCTATATTGGCAGTGTTTTCGTACTTTACCATCACATTTAGCAGGCTTTGTTGGGCTGTTTGTCGTGCATTTTAGTTCGCGTATAGAGCACTACTAGTATCAGATGTTGTAATTTGAGCACATATGTTTTAATTTTACCAGCAGATAAGGGAAACGCCACCGTCCTTATGAAGACAACCAACTACAAAACGAAAATACAAAATCTTCTAGATTCTGCGATATGTATGAGACTTAAAAAAGATCCCACAGCAGTCACCCTACGAAAAGTCAATAGACCTATAAAATCTTCGTCCATACCAAAAGATACAAAACCAAGAATATACAACAGCGAAGTAGTCCCACCACGCTTGTATGGCTTACCGAAAATACACTAAGACGATGTACCTCTACGCCCTATTGTGAGCTCCATAGCCTAGCTAAATATCTAGCCAATATTTTACAACCACGCATAGAAAAAAACGATGCCTTTGTATAAGACTCTGCTCATTTCATCGAGAAGATCAAAGAAATAACTTAACAGAAACCTGACATTCTTGTTAGCTTTGATTTTGTTTCCCTATTTACAAGAGTTCCTCTAGAAGACGTTCTGAATTTAATTGAGGGACTAGTTTCCAAGGATATGGTGAAATTATACCGTATTTGTCTCACTACCAGCTACTTTTCATGGGAAGGCCAGATTTATGAACAGGTAGATGGAGTAGCAATGGGAAGACCACTAAGCCCGGTCGTAGCCAACCTTTTCATGGAGCATCTAGAGAAGAGGATAATGGAGTCATCATACAAGCCAAGGGAATGGTTTGTATACGTCGATGGCATGTTTTTTTGATTTGGGGTCAGGGAGTAGAAAAACTTAACGATTTTTTATCTTATATAAACACACTTGATCCAAATATTGAATTTACGATGGAAACAGAGAAAGATCAACAACAAGCGTCCCTAGATGTATTAGTAAATCGAGAAGAAAGTTACTTAGGACATAAAGTGTATCGAAAACCTACATACACGGACATATACCTAAACAGGAACTCGAATCATTATCCAGGCCAAAAACAAGGTATCATCAAAACTCTGGCGGAGAGGGCGAAGAGAATTTGTGAACCACAGCATCTGCAAAGTGAACTTCTTCATATTGAAAAAGCGCTCACCTCTAATGGTTATACTAGAAGAGAAATACATAAAGCGATTAACAACGTTTTTAGAAGAAATGACGAATAAACAGCATGTACAAGTAAGGCGTTCTTGCCCTATATATCGGGGGTAACAGGCATAACTAAAGATGTTAGTCTAACTAAAATGTTTTAGATTGCTCAGCGAATCGACTAGAAAAAGACGTAGCCATTTTATAATATAGTTTTTTTATTTATACTCCAACCTATAAATTTTTTTACCTTAGTATAAGAATCTATCTCATATCTTGATAATGCGGTATCGGTTTGTAATGTTGTCTCTCTAAACTATATATAGGACATTGAAAAGTGGCGGGTGAACACAACATCACATACATAGCACTGCGGTTTGGATTCCCTTTCAACACATGTTTTTGGGTGATGGTATAGGGGCTGATTCTCAAATGAGATAAGATTATTTGATGGGATCGATATTTTAGGATTGATATCCACGGAAATGCCGAATGTTTTAGTTCTAGTAATTTGGATGTCAAGCGATTCCATTCGTCCTGCCAATATTTCAGCACTAACTTATTTATTCGACTGTTTACATATAGATGTGACACGTTCCTGCTTTTTAAATCTTTTAATTGATGTGATGTGTGAAAAAATAATCTATTCAAAGTTATTATTCATTTTTTACTTGGTCTATTGCTGATTTGATGAGCGACGATTACACTGAGATGAATAGCTAATATGTATGTTATTTAAATAATCCGGAGACCTTATGGGATCTGTAGTAATGACAGGATTTCCCATATTTTTTTCTACCCAGTTTATTGAGTTAAGGAAATAGTGAGTTAGGCTATGTAAATTTATGCATTATTAGTGTGATATCTTTCTTTCGTGTGAAATGATGATGCTACAGTTCACCAAATATAGCTGAAAGGGTGAAATTCCTATTGCCTGCGCTAACAATGAAGTGAGAACGCACATACAAACGGTCTGTACCGTCAGTGCAAGTGCAAGGTCCGTCATTTGACGAATGCGCATCATGAACGTCACGCATAGGCATCGGTATATAAATTTGATGGTAATTACATCGCTGGAGTTTTGAAAAATGCGTTTTTACTGTTATGTTCTTTATAATTGGTCCAATATAATGAATAGTCTTCAGTATATTTGAATAACAAGCCTATCTTTCTTATATTCGTAGATTATAAAAAGGCGTTCGATACTATAGATCATCATAAAATGCTTCGAGCATTGGCTGACCGCCGCATTCACTAGCTTGTGTCTGCCTTTATGAAGATACCAAGAAGTTTCGAATGGAACGTGGAAGTAGACAGGGTGATACTATCTCCACTAAATTGTTTACAGCTGTTCTTGAATATATGTTCAAGCGAATGGAACGAGAGCATAATATGGGAATTAATATAAATGGGAAGATCTGAACCACCTCAGATTTGCCGATGACATCGTTTTAATATCTAATAGAGTTGATAAAGCTACAAAAATGCTGCACACGCTCTATAAAGTGTCAAAAACAATTGATCTTAAAATTAACACCGCAAAGACAAAATTTATTACTAACTTTGTAGTCAGCGGTAAAATTCTGATTAAGAGCCATAGCATCGACCAAGTGATAGCTTACAAATATCTAGGGCATGAGATTCGCTTAGGCCGAGATAATCAGACAACTGAAATACAAAGAATGATAGGTCTCACATGGGCTAATTGATGATGATGATGATATTTGAATTGTCAAAAACAATTTTATTGATAACGCAATAATCTCATCCCATAATATAAATAATTGGTTAATATCTATTGTTAATCTTTGGTTTAAATATGTAATAATATAGTTGGTGCAAAAATTCTACATAAATAATACGTAATGTATTATTATTAACCCAAGCAATAGCTAATGAAAATAATAATTAATAGCATCATGCAAAAACCTGTCAATAACAAGACTCACGTGTTTGTTATCGAACTTGAAGGCGTCCTCATCTCTACATCCCAAGCTCCTCATGTATTTCAAGTAAGTAGTGGTGATCGGAAGCGAGTAATCTATGTCATTGCTGCTAAGCATCAGCTTCTTCTTCTTCGGTTCTTCGTAATCGAGATTGTCCACGGGTGACCAAAGCTTTGGTGTCGAGTCGGCGTGGGATCGCTTCGCTGGGCTACGAGGAGGATCTTTGGATGTGAGGTTACAGACGTCCAAAGGGTTGCTTGATCTTTTTGGAGGATCTAGAGCAGAAGTAAGTATGGCGGTTGCGTTCTTTGTAGGAGTTAGATATTTTCTGTTGACGCTACATTGGTGTGCTCCATTGGAGGTGTGGTAGTACGGGGAGGTACAGCTGGAAAAGAATAAAAAATAAGATATATTAGTTTTTTTATACAATATTTTTATTTCATTAAAATTATATGATATTTTGGTATATAAAAAACTTGAGCTGAGATCGCAATAATTAAATGTCCAGTTATGAAGCAAGTGTTTATTCCCCCTTTTCTTAAAAGCATTGCGAAAAAACCCTGACTGAAATACTATTTCATATTAAGAACACATTTCTGCGATTGTAGAAAAAATATTGTCTGGATTTTATTTATTTATTAGTCAACGAGCAATTGCCTAATCTAAATACAATATTATAATATTAAAACATAAAATTATAAAATTTAAAATCCTAATTTATTACAAGTCAGAAAATTTAAAACTAACATAGACAAAAGAGAAAGAAACAAAACACAAGAAAACAAAAATCAGGTCAAAATTCAAATCGATTAAAATAAATTACACAGCTATGGTCTGTTTTTTAACCAGGAGGAGTAATTCAAATTTTCCGCGCCGTAATTCTTGTTTGTAATTGGTCCAACCGCAGGCAAGTTTACTCCACTAAATTATGACATATTGACACTAATGACATTAGTGAAATTTTAAAATTCAAAATTTATATCGACGATTTTTTGTATTTTCTGCGTTATTCCTTACATTCATAGATTTTTCGTTTGCATTTATATAAAGAACAGTTCTTTTCAGAACTATTTAGTGTTATTAAGATAACACTATGGATTCAATGCCAAGTACTAGTGGTAATTATTCTTCTCCACCTTAAAAACGCCGAGTAGATTTGGGTCATTTATCAACAAAAAGAAACAATGTATTATAAACATGTATAAAAAAAATGAAAATTGATAATTCTGGATTGAAAATAACATCCACGGTAGCAAAAGTAAAAAGGCAGCAGGTTAGTTTTGCAGAATAGTTATTATTAAAATCAAGACTTACTAAAGTAATGTGCTAATTTTCGGTGTTGCGAATTTAACTGTTTACCAAACAATTAAAGAATATAAGCAGACTGGTGATATGCGAATTTTATTTAGTGTGATATTTTTCTAGATGATATTTATACTACTAAATATTGTTTAAAGTGTTTATAAATTTATAAATCTACGCTATTTATATCTAATTATCATAATAAAAACGGCAACTATGTTTTAAATTTAGTGTACACTTGGTAAGAAGTATTTTCATTTTGGTTTCATCAGAATAAAAGAACATTAAGGCCCGTTTTCACGGTACACTTTGGATGATCATCCCGGGTGAATCATCCAAAGTGAAAAATAAATGAATCGTATAAACTATTATTCATCGACAGTGATCATCCAAAATGAATATTGAACGAAGTTGAACCGAGTTCTACTTTTGTTCACTTTAGGGGATGCATCGCGGATGAATCATCCAAAGTGAACCATGTAAACATGCATTTGTTGCTGTAATTCATCGGTAGTGACTAGTGAACGGCGGCAACAGGTCCACGTGGTTGTGTATTGTCGCGTTTGAAGTGCGTAGTTGTTGTGTTTGTACGCTTGCTATCATGGTTTTTAAGTGGAAAGACGACCATACTCCTCTAATTTTGAGTTTAATGAAAGACCGACAGTGTCTTTGGAACACTAAAGCAGAGACATATAAAAATAAAACCCATAGAGAAAAAGCGTTAAAAGAAATCGTTGAGGAGCTGAATCTTCAGGGAGTGATGGTGGAAGATATTAAGTTAAAAATAAAAACAATTCGTACCCGATATTCATCTGAACTGGCTAAAGTAAATCAATCCGTAAAAAGTGGTACAGGGCCAGATGACGTTTATGTCCCCAAACTTTTTTGGTACAAACAAGCCGATTCATTCTTACGTGCAGTTTGTGTACCGAGGAGCAGCTCAGCAAGTACAGTAAGTATAGCATTTTTTTATTTTCATACTACTAGCAATTATAAGTACATATATGTATTAGGTGGGTCGTAGGGTATTGTAGTAAGTTGAAAATAAAAACCATATCGATTTAAAATAGCTGAAATATAGTTGATCGTTTTAGACGTAAAATGTCCCACTTCATCTTGGTTGCTTACCTTACACGTATAAACAACAAAACCACAGAAAAATTAGTTACCAATTTTTATTAAGTAAATGAACAATTATACAAGAATAAGCCATTTAAATCATTTTCCACTGCCACGGTGCAATTTCAGTTGAACAGAACAGATCTGCATAATCATCACGTACAGCGGCAGCAACTTTCTTGTGGTTGTTACTTGTAGCAAGTGTTATGTCTCTGAGGCCGTCGTGTGTAGTTTGTCGCCATATTCCAGGTACAATTCTGCCTTCCTCCCATAATTCAACATCAATCAATCCCTCAGTTACGTATGGTGCTTTGCAAGTAGAGGTTTGTCTGAGCCAATTATGAAGAACACAAGTAGCTTTCACCAGTAATTCAGTTGTTTCTACTTTGAGAGGAATAGGCTTTTCGAATACTCGAAAACGAGACACAAGTATGCCAAATGCATTTTCTGATAGGCGACGAGCTCGAGATAGCCGATAATTAAATACCCTTTCCTTCCTAGTTAATGATTTCTTGCTATAAGGTTTCAAAAGATAGGTTCTAAGAGGAAAAGCGTCGTCCCCAAGAAAAACACCATTTTCAGGTATATTTAACAAATTGTTCTCCAGAGCTTCGTTAAATGTACATTTGGAAAACACTAATGCGTCATTTGCTCTGCCATTTGTACCGACGTCAATATATAGGAAGTTATAATTAGCATCCACAATTGCAAAAAGAATAGTGCTGAACGTTTGTTTATAATTGAAAAAATACGATCCCGACTTCGCAGGACAGCGAATAGCAATATGTTTCCCGTCCATAGCGCCACAGCAATTAGGGAAGTTCCAAAGGGTATAATATTCCTTCATTACTTTTGTCCATTCATTAGTAGTGGTAGGCACCTGTAAAAGACAAAACTGTATACGTATGTGTATTATAAGTGGGTAAAAATTCGAGCAACTTCGTTTTGTATGATAATATGCGGTATCTGTTTCAGGTTCCGAAATGTAAAAGGAGCCCAACGCCACAGAATCCAGATACTAAAGATGTCAATTATGAAGGAAATAATACTGATACCGAGGTTATCATACCTGCGGCAGCAAATGATGTCATACCGACAGATGATGGAGTACTACCTAAAGAAAGCGAACTGGCACAGCATAACAAACGAATCAGAAAAGAGAGTCCCCAAGCAAATTTGAACACCCCATTTTCAAAAAAGCATCGTTTTTCTGGAATTTCAGCTATTGAAAAAGCAATAGATAGATTAAGTGCAATTGCTGCACAGAATGCAAGCACAGATAACGAATTTGATCATTTTTGTCGAAGCCTGTCAGTTCAGCTTAAAACCATGCCTCTGGACCGCGCCCTGATATGTCAAGAAAAGCTGCAAAAGGTTATGATGGAAGAGCGCATGTATCTCTTCAACTTAGAACAGACTCGCTCAAAGGAATCTACTCCATCACTGTATACAGTATATTCGACTAACAGTGAGACGTCAGTTTCTACACCGACTACTACAATGGAAAGATATGAAGAGAGTGCTCCTTATGATATATTATCCGAAGCATTCTCGACTATTCACAATTACCAATGAATTTATGTTTGATTTTAATTTTTGAATAAAATGCCTTTTGGATAAAGTTTTAATACGTTTTTTTTTTAAATATGTAAGAAAGAATCTAATTAGGTACTAACCTTGATACAGTATTCAAGTATTTCGTAAATAGCAGCTAATACTTCTGGCATAAAATGGGAAATGGAGCATTTAGGTACACGATACAAAGCTTCGAGTGTTGAAAAGCAATCTCCTGCTGCAAGATATCTTAGTACAATTTGCAATTTCAGTCTTGGATGAAGAGATTCTCTCATGGTTGTGCTTTGCTTTTGAATTAACGGTGTGACTTTGGTAAGTAGCTCTTCAAATTGCACTTCAGACATTCTTAGATGGTTTTGTAACATGGCTTGATCTTCTGTAGACCATTCCTTTAACAAACACGTTGACGCCCCCATTTTGTAGCGTCGAAGTATCCACGGCCTTACCCACCAACGTCGTTTTTTTCTAATCTTCTGTTTTTCAAGTACATTTTCAAGTTCATTTAAAAGATATTCACTTATTATACCAATTCCAGCACGTACAACTTCAGTCGGCGCCATTTGTAAGTGAACAGACTAGTTCAGTCTTGGTGATACATGTAAACGATAATTACTTTCATCGTCGTAGTCACTTTGGATGATTCATCCGGGATGATCATCCAAAGTGTACCGTGAAAACGGGCCTTTAGTAAAGTAATATTGTGTTTTAGTTTGATTGTATTGATACAGTTGGTTTTGTTCTTCCTGGTTGTAGATAATCACAAGAAAAATGCAAAATTATGCTTGAATGTAACATAATAGATTGAATTTGTTAATTTTAGTCAATTTTATTTATTGATAACAAATATTACAAACTCAAGAATCCAAAACAAGAATCCAGCATTAAAAAAATTGCAAGTACATACTTATTTACACAAAGTATCTTTTTGCATTATAGTGCTTCACATAGAACCTAAAGATATTGATACATAAGTTAAACAAATCTATCTAATGAGGTAACTGATTACCAAATAGGACCACACCTATATTTGAACCATAATTTATTCTGTGATAGGAAACATGAAAAAGTGAATTTTAAAGCAGTGAACGGGAAGGAGTATGTAAAGCAAATTGGCTGAAGCAATTCAGGAGATTGGATTATTAAGCTTAAAAATAATAATCAAAGTCAAAGTTAACTCTTCTGGTAAGAAAAAAACCTATATTCAAGAAATTAATCACATCAGAATAAAAATATGGTCTACGCAGTTTAAAAGAACAGTATTTCAGAAATCTTTGAACTCTCGTAACTTTTTGACACATACATTTGCATAGCTTTGTTGCATACTTATTAGATCTATTTGCAAATTAAATGACAAATTTATGTGAAAAACAAATTGAATTGAAAAAAAAAATATTATTCAAACATAAATTAATAAAGTTAGGTTAGAATCGACGGTAAAGGTTGTCCGATATTGATTACTCGATTACCGCAATGCCGAGATAATCAACAAAAAAAAGAAGATGTATTTGGTGACTTTTCTAGTATCTTTCTTGGGTATGAATCTGTCTTTTTGGTTTACTCCTCCTGGTCAAAAAACAGAGTATAGTAGCATCAAAGAATCACATGCAAGGTATTAATTGCACTTTAAAAATACTTTGCTTTTTAAAGCAATTCAACCTATCTCTATACTGATTATTTGCAAACCTAGTAGACCTAGATATATAAGAATTATATCCATAGTTTGTTCGATGGTGGGTAATTTGGAAAGTTTTAATAAGTCTGGTCTACTTAAAAGGACATGGAGGTTAATTTTTTCTAACAGTTATGGACTGAAACTATGGGAGTATAATAAATTGAACGGCATAGTTAGATATTTGTACGTATGACTGACCTGAAGAGTTGTAATGTTGAGAAAACATTTAATGTTAGGGTAATTGGACAGCACCTAAATCTTTCACTTAAGTTGCAGACTCTAAAGGACAGACTTTTATAGTGTACATTTAGTTGGTGGGGTTTCTGTTACTATTAAATACCATTAACTGGCACTTTGTACCATTAAATTGCATATAATTTATTTCACACCACTGCAGCTATTTAAATGGTTCAAATCCGCTTATAGGTCATGGTAATAATAGATATTCATGATCTTATAAAGTTTTAAATCGTCCGTTAACATGAGAGAGTTTGAATGGACAAAACAGGAGACAATATTATTCACATAAATATTAATGAAAAGTGGACCTTGGTGCAAACATTGAGGTATACCAGATGGTACATCTATCTCATTCGATTGGAAGCTTTGAATACGCACTACTTGTATTCTTTCTGTAACATAAGACGACCACTTTAAAAGTTTGCCTGAAAGTTTGTTTAAAATGTTTTCTTTTTACGCTTAAATTGATGTTAATGAAGATGATTGTCACTGCTCAGTATACATACTTTTAAGTTTACCAAATTGTGTGTTAATATTCGAAGCATAATAATTAGATCTCCTTGAAATCGACGTTGATCAAGTGTGGGCAGAGTGACCAAAATTATTCTATCTGTATACGTCGGTCTTCAGGGACCAAAAGACATTACTATCGCACATTAACTCTAGCCTTAGAAACTCTATTTAATAAATTAAATTAAAAAGGAAAAGTTTCAGTGGTTAGCTGTATGACATAGTTTTAAAAAACTTTGAAGTAGAAACTGCTTGTGTAAAAATGATATAAATTTATTAAAAATTTTAAAATATCTAAAATGGATTTATAAAGTTTCAGAACATTTTCAGTTTTATCGGATCATCCTCAGTGAAAAACCTAGAAATAGGTATATATAAAATGTATTAGTATTGTATTTATAGCATTTTACACAAGCAATTTTTACTTCATAGTAAGTTATTTAATATGCTTGTTTGAACATAAAATTCCGTCGTATTAATTATTACATTACCGACATCGAAAAATAGATCTATAAGCTTACTGTTACAGCCCTAATATATTTCATTCCTAATACTGCCCTGTACATATTTTTTTCCGAGAGACATAATCCAACGCTGCATTATATTTATCTTACCACCAAAAATTTGAGTTTCACTAAATGTCTTTTTTATTATCTCATAAATCATAGACTCTTTTATAATTCTAGGAAAGGGTATTTACATAATATCTTTGGCACACCTGTACTTTTTATCGTTCTATTTTCGCAAAAAAGCTTTTTAATAGCTTTTGTATGTACAAACTAGAAGGTCACAAAAACATCTTAAAATCTTCACTTGCTAAAAATCACTATAAAATGTTGGTTTTGCCGGTAAGATACCAAATTCTCTCAGTTAGGACAATATCTCTCAACGCTCTTCACATAATCTCTAGTCCGATGTAAGATGATTATCTTGACGCTCTATACAACAATCTCTCCACCTCCACTCTCCCGTTCTTCAAAGGGTCAGATTTCATTCTGAGGATCAAGACAAAGTGATTGGTACCTAATATGTACGTGTGCTCCAACTATACAGGTCTCTTTTAATTTATTTTCGGATAAAATCGCGAAAAAATGAAAAAAAAAAACATCGATTTTAGGGACTGAATAACCGTTTGCCACGCTTTGAGCTTTTTTTTGGTTCTTCAAAGGGTCATACTTCATTCTGGGGACCAAGACAAAGCTATTTGTACCTAATATGTATGTGTGCTTCAACTATAGAGGTATCTTTTAATCTATTTTCGGATAAAATTGTGAAAAAATGAAAAAAAAAACGTCGATTTTAGTGACTGAATAACCGCTCGCCACGCTTTGAGCGTGTGTTTCTTTGCTCTTCAAAGGATCAGAATATATTCTGGGGATCAAGACAAAGCGATTGGTACCTAATATGTATGTGTGCCCCAATTATAGAGGTATCTTTTAATCTATTTTCGGATAAAATTGAGAAAAAATGAAAAAAACGTCGATTTTAGTGACTGAATAACCGCTTGCCACGCTTTGATCAGGTATTTCTTGGCCCTTCAAAGGGTCAGAATTCATTCTGAGAAGCATGACGAAGCGATTGGTACCTAATATATATGTGTGCTTCAACTATAGAGGTATCTTTTAATCTATTTTCGGATAAAATTTTGAAAAAATGAAAAAAACGTCGATTTTAGGGACTGAATAACCGTTTGCGACGCTTTGAGCAGGTGTTTCTTGGCTCTTCAAAGGATCAGAATTCCTTCTGGAGACCAAGACAAAGCGATTGGTACCTGATATGTACGTGTGCTTCAAGTATAGAAGTCTCTTTCACTCGTTTTTTCGAGGCAGATCGCTAGAAGAATGAAATAGCTTTAGCGAACAAATCAGTTTTTTGTTGGAAAAAATTTAAAGTTGCCTTTTTTTTCGAAGCTCGCACCTGAAAACATGTTTTTTGGTATCAACCTATACTGCGGGTAGAAAAAAATTGTTACTGCGGGGTACGGGCAGCAAATTGCAATATTACCATATTTGGCTCCAGTTAAGGTGCGAATTTTTGTAGAATTCCTCTATTTTATTAAAATTACGAACTGAATTTGTGTCATGATGACTGCTTGATTTGAATTGTCTACTGGAGAGCTTACTATAGGATATGTTTGTAAATGTGTATCAACTACAAATTTAATATTTTTTAGTTTCATTTTGTTGTTTGCTTTATTTCTCTGCCTGCTACGTAATGTCAGCTATAATATTTTTCTTGTTAATATTTAAAGTACAATTCTTCTCCCCCAAAAATACTTAACTGAAGAAAAGGAAATTGCCTTATTAAAAGGGTAATATTAAAATTTTTATCAAATTAAATAAATTAGTTTACATTAAATAGTCTGCAGTATATGTAGTACAACAATAAAGCGATCTCATTATTCTTTTTGTGACATCTTAAGCAAGTTCAAACGGCACATTTCATAATAATGTATACGTTTAAAATATTTAGCATAAATTATACACTTTTTTCAACCACCAATCAAAGAAATATCTACTTATGCTGTTTACTTTGGCTGACTTGAATTGAGCTAAAAATATAATGAATTTTTTATTTGCTACCGAGTTAAACAATTACCTACCTACTGAACTTCACAAACCCCCTTTTTCCCACCTGCCATAACCAGTAGGTATAATATACAAAACTTTTAAAAATACAATAATTATATACTAACCTCCATTTTTAACTCCGTAATAACTGTCTTCACCTTGCTGAACCGAATTATTTATCACCGGCGTAGCTACTTGAGGGACCGTGGGGGTATTCCCCGCAGCGGGTCCCATTTGCTGCAACGTTGCCACTGCTGGCGGCAACGTGGGGCTGGGACTGGGTGTAGGTAATAGTGACGTGGGCGAAGGTGATCGAGGGTGTTTCTGGCACTCCGTGCATCCGAGTAGGAAGCGGGTGACGGCTTCTCGCGGCAGAAACGCATACGTCTCGGTTATCTGTAATATAGTATTGTTTTAGTATGGGAATCATGCTATAGTACGGTGACTTAAATACTAAATACCTTTCCTGACAAACCTATATCAAAATTTAGATTCTAAATATAGTTAGAAGTAAGAGTTAAACATTTATACTTAATTTAGTAACTTCACTATGTAGAAAAATAATTACCAACAGTAACAGTATTGCATTTAAAACCAGTTATGAAAAAATTCTTGATTACAACTAAAAACTAGATCGAAACGTATAAAAATTGAAATCAAACCATCCTGGTTAGTATTGAAGAAGTTAATCAGCATTCTTAGTCTTACTTAGTGGTACTTAGGTAAGTGTTTGTCGTATGTAGTGTCTTGTTTTAACTTGCGTATAAAAAAACGTTGACAAGCATTAAAAAAAATTGCAAAAGGGGCAGAATGTCCCTTTACCTGGCCTAGTACGTCATGTGGTATACTCTGCGATAAACCCGTTTTTGGGACATTTGCTGGTCATTCGGTAACTACATTCCTGAATTCATTATTTTTTATCTCATTCGTGAGATTTAAAGAACTAGCAAATATAAGGAAATGAATTTGGGGAAATACAGTTTAATTTCTTTAGGAACAATATTCTTTAAGCAATCACGACAAAATGATGGAAAATTGGAGGAAAGTTGTGACCAATACTTTTAAGTCATCATTCATATTGGCACTATTATGCAAACATCCTAAGCAAAAGAGCAATAAAGAAGATAGGACGAAAAGTAGATAGACAGGGGTGTCATTTATCGCGCCTATTTTTAACATTATCATCATCAGTGGTGCTACAGCCCTATAAAAGAGCCTCTACCTTCCCAAGTATATTACGCCAGTGAGTTCTATCCATTGCCAACTGTTGCCAGTTTGCTGCGCCTATTTTTCTACCATCCCCATCTACACCATTTCTCCATCTGAGTTTTGGCCTACCCCTACTTCTACTTCCCACAGGTTGTGACAGAAGGATTCTTCTAGGAGGGTTGTCTTTACCACCCAATGTATATTTAAATCTGTGATATATCTTATAGTTGTACCTCCTTCTTCAAACACCATTTTCACAGATACCACCGAATATTCTTCTCAGGATGCGTCGTCAAAATATAAGCAGGAGGTTTTCATCTGCCTTGGAAATGGTCCATGTCTCCTATCCATATGTCAACACTGGTTGTATAAGGGTTTTGTATATGGTTATTTTTGTTTTTTGGCTTCTGCCAAAGTTTCTGCTATCTACTCAATCCAAAATAGTATTTATTTGCTAGGATTATTCTTCGCTTGATTTCTTCCATCATAACGTTTTCCTTGGTGATCAGGGAGCCTAAGTATGTGAATTTGTCCACCATTTTAAAGGTAGAGTTATCAAGAGTGAATTGGCCGATGTTTCTGACTCTATTGTTGGGTGTTGATTCCATTATCTTAGTTTTCTCCTCATTTACTTGCAGGCCCATATTTTTTGAGGCATTTGACAAGGTGGTGTACATTTCTTCTAGTTTGCGTGTTGTGCGGGCAACTAGGTCAACATCATCTGGATATGCCAAAATTTGGGATGATTTATTAAAGATGTTGCCTCTGTTGTCTATTTGGGCATCCCTGACCGCCTTTTTCAGAGCTATGTTGAAAAGGAGATACGCCAGCGCATCTCCTTGTCGCAGCCTAACATGCGTTTCAAATGCCTGTGATTGTTCGCCCTGTGTTTCGACTTTGCAAACAACTTTACGCATTGCAGCCTTAACCAATCTTATCAGTTTATCATCTTCTTCTTCTCGTGCCACTCCTAGCGGAGATTGAAAATCATCATGATCAACTTCTTATGAATGGATGAACTACGAACCGATATAAGGACCCACACACTAGAAGGAGATTGGATTCGGGGACAAACCATCTAGGAACTCCTTTTACACTAAAAGAACTCTACTATAGTATGAACAGGTTAAAAAACGGGAAAGCTGCAGGTGTGGATGATCTAGACAAGCAATCTAGAAAACATCTAGGCCAAGAAACAAAAAACTGGATCTTGCAACTTTCTAAAACGTACTACAAAGCCTGCGAAATTCCAAAATTATGGAGGAAATCTAAAATAATAGCCTTGTTAAAACCAGGAAAGGACACAGAAAATCCCAGTAGCTACAGACCTATTTCGCTGTTATGTTACTTTTTCAATCTATACGAGAGACTCATACTCGTCAGATTAGAAAAAAATGTCGACAAGCACCTCGTCCCACAATAAGGAGGATTCAGACTTGGCAAATCTTTCACCTGTCAAGTCCTCGCACTAACAGAACACATTGAAGAGGGCTTTGAAGAAAAACTTATAACAGGGGCTGTTTTCGTAGATTTGGCAGCAGCCTATGTTTTTGGTTATGCTAGAGGGTAAAGTAAGTAGGTGGAGAGTTAAAAAAACAGCCTTCCACAGGGAAGTGTTTTAGCACCAATTCGTTTAAATATATACACAAGTATATACAAAGTTTGAGCTTTCCATCTTCGCGCAAAGAAGCCAAGCGAAAACTCCAAATTGCGTGGAATGGTAATACATTAGAATACACTAACCAATCTTGGAGTAACTCTGTACCGGTCCCTCACCTACAGACAACATTACATAAAAACGAGAGGAAAAGTACACTCAGAAAGCTAATGGGAAGTAAACAAAGTGCACGTCCTGGCGTTTAAAAAAAACCAGAGGTAGTGTGTTTTTCAACTGCTGAATATGCATGCCCCGTTTGGGGCAGATCTGCCCACACTAAACAAGTTGAGACTGCGCTAAATAAGACATGCAGGATAGTAACGGGCTGCATGAAACCAATGCCACTTTGAAATCTATATAACGCAGAAGGCTTTGCAGAAACCTCAACACGCAGAGGCGTTGCAGAAGATATAGAGAAAATTAAACATATCGCGGACGAGCGGCATGCCCTATACAAAGCTGGAACACCACGAAAACGACTAAAATCCAAAAAAGCTACCTTTGAACAGTGCAGGATGAACAGCCTGAGTATTTTATTCTTCTCCAGGTTCAATGGATCGGCCAGTTCCTAGACTTTAAAACCTGGAAAATTATGAATAGAAGAAGAACGGGGGTCGCTCCAGTAAAATCAAATATGGCGAAATGGGGAAAAATAGACTAATATGATGTGAACTTTGACTGTGGAGAAACACAGAATATGAAACATCTTACATGCAGAAACTGTCCTCATCGATGTACCCTCGAAGATTTGTAGCTCGCCAACAAAGATGGAACCGACGTAGCCCGATACTGAGCCGAAATTTTATAAATGACATGTCCGGACACGATAAAGTAAGCAAAAAAATGAAAACGTAAAACTTTTAAAAAAGAAATTGTAGGCAATTACATTTGCAACAATTTCAGTCCTTACCATTTTTTATGAAACGTGGGAAAATGACGGAAATATTGAGCAAAACTATTCTCTAAACTGCGACTAAATTTATATTACTGTTGACTTCGTTAAAGGTTAAAATAACAAAAATTTTTGTAGCTCTCCATACAAGGTTAGGCCATTTTTTTTGTCTAACTCGTATGGACCACAAAAAGAGCAGATAAGTTGAGGTCACACCTCGATCCGGACAAGATATTGTATGGAAAATTTAAGACCGGATGTGTTTATAGTCTAATACTTCACTAAAGAAGCAATTAATTCAAGAAAAATTTATAAAAGCTATTAACGACTTTGGAAAAAAGGAGAAGGCGCTAGGGAAAAATAGACAGCCGAGAAGTTGCTGTACTATAAGAATTATAAATCAGTACAGGACGAGGTATTGTTAATCCGTTATTTTATGTGAGTTTAAGGTTTCATTTTCTATCAAGCGATAACCGAAGAGACGGTAAACCGTCGACATGTGACAGGGCTACGAATTTACATACAGATATATGCAAGAAATATACACACATCCGAACACTTTTGTCCTCTTCCCGCAGTTTATGCGATGTGTCAACTTTTCAGTCGTAATGTTGTTCGTAAACTTTGAACAAATAGGCGTGTTTATATGTAAGGTGTTCCTGTTTATAATTGTTGAAATAAAACCAGAATTTTGGCATTATATTCTTAAAATTGTTCTAAGGTTATACTGCCAATATAATGTAAAATTGCTTTGCTAAAATGTATTACGAAATAATTTTAAATTAAGACATAATTAGAATAAAGCCTTGGTATTTACATTTTTAAATACAACCGGCAATCATTACGCCATTTGGTTATACAATTTTTATTCCACCATTGCTTCACTAAGCATTTGTCTTGCTTGTTATCGACAATTTAAAAGTTGACGCCTACTGAAGGCAGAAAATGTATCTCTATTGCTCTTTAAAATATGAAAAACTCGTATTTATAGCGGATTCACTGACCTTGGGAACATTTTGATAGATTAATTGTCGGAAGCAAATAACATAAAAAGTGTTACCACTTTTTAAGATCTGCAGACTTTACGAACTTAGTGTTTTGTTTATTGTTGTTTTTTGTTTCGTTGTTTGTTATATATTTTATAGTTTGAACATTCATATTACGGAGAATGGAGAACCTAGAACTAGAACTTTGTGTTCTATCATGTAATACATTTTTATTCCTTGATAAAAAATTGGAGACAATTCATGGACATTTACGTAAATATCTTAGTAGCGTAGTTGACGTTCTTTTGTTGTAACTTTTTAAGAAATTTGTCTTTTATTGTTAAATACTGCATTTCAAATATTTGGAAAAACTTCAGAAAATAAACTTGGGAGTAAATAGACCTGGTGGTACTCCAAGAGATCGTTAACTACATACAGAGTGGCAAGAAGATAGCTCTGATAGGCTAAGCTAGGATAAAATCCATAAAAAAGTAGCTGCTAACTTCCAATAGATTAATATAAAAATACGAATAAGTTTATCAAAAATATTATCAGTGTTGTGGCAATAAGTTACTCCTATTTCAAATGGTCCAAGCATTCTTACTAATTAAAATAAAGTATATTTAAAGATACGAGGCAAATTACCATAACAATCTACAGTGGAATTTTGGACTCACCGTACGATACGTTCTCTTCTGGCCAGCGTGTTTGCCAGGTCTTCCTTCTAAGTCGACATGAACGTTGTAGATGATATCGAAGAAATTTTCAACTACTGCTACTTTTCGATACACTGGTTCTCCAGTTGAATTCTGGAACAAAAGAAAAATATATAAATTATAAATTCACTTACTTATTATAAAGACAACAAAGCCCTCGAAGTATTAGAAAAATGTTATGATCGACATTAAAACTGGTCAAAAAAGTAATTTTTATTAATGTTTTTATAGAATTATCACGATATGAATCATATTTTATATTTGATTCATGTCGTATTTTTTGTTTCATGCGTGAAAGACAATGATGCTAAATAAAAAATATGTGTTTTGTCTTGCTAGGTATTATGGACGCGCACGGGTAAAGAACCATTTACTCAACTGTATGTAATGTTTTTATCGATGAAGTATTATTATAATAGTATAAGTGCGATAGAAAAAAGTATATGAAATGGCGAATGCGCTTTGAATGAATGTAATTTGTCAAATAGTTGCTCACATAAATAAAAATCTAGAGTTTTGTAGTGACACCGACCGTAGCGCTTTTTGTTTATATACATAACCTGTACAACACATTAAGAGGTATACTGTAGAAATAAATCCTGACACAAGTAAAACGAAAACGATAAAAACACTAAACACAATATCAGGAAAACTTCACTTAATAAAAAAAAAGAAGTGAAAATATTAGAAAACTACATATTTAAAATAGATCTGGTTAAAAAATAAATAACTATTTTTAGAAACATATTGAAGTGAAAAATATGATGCCGTAGAAATAATTAAAGTTCCTAAAATACTAAATACTATAAAGCGAAAGCAATAACACAATGGACTGGTTACACAGAAGAGTCCATTTGAAACAGGGCTGTCTTCTCGTGCCACTCCTAGCGGAGATTGGAAATCATCATGGGCACTGCGACTTTGTTAGCAGCGCGTCTAAAAAGTTCAATCGAACTACACCCGAACCATTCACGTATATTACGAAGCCACGATATTTTTCTTCTTCCCACACTTCTTTTGCCCTTAATTTTGCCCTGCATGATGTTTCTTAAAAGTTCGTACTTTTCACCTCTCACAATGTGCCCCAAGTATTCCATCTTTCTAGTTTTTATCTCATTTAGAATTTCGCATCTTTTGTCTAAAGTTTGGAGTACTTGCGTGTTAGTGACGCAATCCATCCATGATATTCTGAGAATGCGCCTATAGCACCACATCTCGAAAGCTTCGATGTTTTTTATGGTCAACTGTTTTAGTGTCCAAGCCTCAACTTCATATAACAGGGTAGAAAAGACATAACACCGCAGCATTCGTATTCGTAACATTATATTGATATCACGATTGCAAAAGAGTTTGCGCATTCTATTAAAGACTGATCTAGCGATTTCTATTCTACTATCTAATCTCTTTTGTTTGATCAGTATCGTCTGTGATCCAAGCACCTAGATATTTATAACAGGGCACACGCTCAATCGTTGTAGTGTCTATTACAAAATTAGCTCTGATGTTCTTTGATTTCGTGATTACCATAAATTTAGTTTTTTTCAAATTAATTTTCAAGCCGTAATTGTTACAGTATATATTGAGACTTTGAACGAGATGTTGTAGTTCTACTAGCGTTCCCGTTAGGAGAACTGTAACGTCAGCATACCTTATATTGTTGATCGTCTCACCATTTATTATTAGACCAAGATCTTCCTCGAGTGCTTGTTCACAGATAACTTCACTATACAGATTAAATAAAAGTGGCGATAAGATACATCCCTGCCGGACTCCTCGGCGGATTTAAATTTCTTCTGTTAGTCTGCCCTCAACCTTGACATTTGCTGTTTGATTCCAATAGAGATTGCATATAATTCGAATATCTCGGCTGTCTATATTTTTCTTTATTAGAACTTGTCTTAGTGGTTCATGTTGTACTTTGTCAAAGGCCTTTTCGAAATCAATAAAGCAGGCGTAAATTTCTTGGTTCATGTCTAAGCATCTTTGTGAGAGAACGTTCATTGCAAACAGAGCCTCCATTGTACCCAGCTCTTTTCTGAATCCCATCTGAGTGTTACTGATGTCTACGTCTAATTTCCTATAGATCCTATTATGGATTATTTTTAAGAACAGTTTTAGAGCATGACTCATCAAAGCTATCGTACGATATTCGTTGCATTCCTTTGTATTTGCCTTTTTTGGCAGTAGTATAAAGGTCGAACGGAGCCATTCCCTAGGTATTATTCCAGTTCTATATATTGTGTTAAATAGATCTAGGAGTATTTTTATAGATTCATCGTCCATAAGTTTGAGTAGTTCTACGGGAATTTCATCAGGACCGGGGGCATTACAACTTTTTGCTTGTTTAATTGCATATTCTATTTCTTCTCTGATTATATCAGGCCCTGTATCATCTGTATATTCGTTTGAGATTTCTTGTCTATCTTTGTCATCAAATAGTTGTGATATGTATTCTGTCCATCGGTTCATTTTTTGTTGTAAATCTGTTATAATTATACCATCTGTATCTTTGATCTGTTCTGTCTGTGTTATTCTTCTCCTTCCTGTCATTTCTTTAATCTTTTTGTGTACATTAAAAAAGTCATATTTTCGCTCCAATCCAAGTTATCTTTCTCTAGCTTCTCTTATTTTCTTTTTTATCAGTTTATCTGTTTCTTTATATCTTATCGGATTATTTGTTTTGTGTACCCTTCTTTCACGCATCAACTGGGATATTATCCATATTATAAACATTTTCATTAAATGACAGTTATTTAGCAAAAGGTTTTGATTGATAAGGAACTGTTTTTATCAACTTCAGCAAAAGAATACCATTGTGAAATTGATGTGGATTTCGTCACATATGTACATGGCAATGAAAGAAAAGATGCTGAACCCAAATCTTCTGTTAATAACGAAGAGTTAACTACATATGCGAAAGATTTGCATCACTGGATTAACTCAATTTTAAAAGAATAATGGCTTACAGAATAAAATCATTCTCAATAAAAACTACCTTGGCACATAAAAACAACAGTTACAAGATGGAAGAATAAGTGTTGCAAGAAGAAAGACCAAACTATAGTAAACAGACTGAAATTAGGACATATATGCTTAACACATGAATAGCATATTACTGGAAGTGTTTATATAATCTGCGGTAACTGTTTTAACAGTTTAAGTGTACAAGATATCTTAATTAAATGCCCGGTATATTCAAACTAGCGAAAAAGTGTAACTTAACGAAAATGCTACGTGAGTCTCTAGAAGAGAACTGGTTCTACTAATCGGTTTTAAGTTTTCTTAAATTAATAGGAATATAACCAATGTAAACAGTATCAATGTGTTATTTATTATCAGTATCAGAACAGTATCAACTATTTATATTAAGTATCCAGAAATGTAAAAAACGTGTGAGCGACGCTAATAAGTACAGGTTTTTTTTTATTTAGAATTTCCGCATCAACCATTAAAGGTTATTAGCAGGTTTTACAGATTTTACAGTTGTTATTACAAATACAAATTTACTAATTACAAATTGCGTATTAAATTACACATAATAAATTACAAATTACAAAGAGATACATATCTTCTTCTTCGGGTTCCTTCTCCTAGCGGAGGTTGGAAATCATCATCGCTATTTTAACTTTGTTGGCCGCATTTCTGAATAATTCTAATGAGCTGCAGCCAAACCACTCTCTCAAATTTCTTAGCCAGGACATTTTGCGTCGTCCTGGGTTTCTCTTCCCTTGTATCTTCCCTTGCATAATCAACCTCAGTAATACGTACTTCTCACCCCTCATTAAATGTCCCAGATATTGAATCTTTCTAATTTTAACAGTTTTTATGACTTCACATTCTTTCTTCATTCTTTGTAACACCTCTATATTAGTTACTTATAGAGATACATATAATATAACTTAAATTTTGTGTAGTAAACGTATGTCCTTAAGGAATTTGATTGTATTAGATACATTACTGTTTAAAATATCTTTAAGTTTCTTTGCTTCTTCTGGTACGTTGTTGATGGCTCTTTCGTAGGAATAAAGAGGACATTCAATCAATACATGTTGAACAGTTATTGGACATTCACAATAGGAACATTCAGGTGGTAGTTCTTTTGTTATGAGATGCTGGTGAGTTAACGCTAAGTTAAGTACAGGTTGATGCGCCGTAAATGTAAAGAATAATAAAAAAAAAAAAGAATTCATGTGACCTAATATTTTACGCATAATATCTTTGCAGATAAAAGCTTTCTGGGATAAACGATTTTAATTTGGAGTAACTGCTAAGTGAAACTTATCGTTTGTACTTGAATATATGTGGTATTGGCCCTATTCTCATGTGAAATTAAAGTTTTTTTGTGCATTTTTAGAAAAGGTATTATTAAGTTTCAAATAATCGACATTTGAAGCTATTTTTAAAATCATTCAGCAACAATTAAAAAAACAATTACTATTTAAATGGGAATAAGCCACAATTACAGGTTAAAATAAGTTTATTGACGTTTCAATTTCCACTTCGAAAATCGTTCTCAAAATACAAACATTAGTAAATTAAACAAATTTTGTTTTTTCTTACTTGGTGAAAAATTGTTCTAATAATTTAATTTTATCTGACTAATTTCTATTGGCAATTCAGACATACATTATACATTTTAAAGTACCCGACTTTAAAAGGGTATTGCCAATATTGTTGAGTTTCGTTCATCGAGCAAAAAGACAAAAGAGGGAATCTAATCCTTATGAAAAGGAGACCAAAAAAGTGGCCTCTGATGGCGGACATATCCGGAAATGCGAATGCGCCAAATTTAAATTTTCCGACACTTATTCAACAGTAGCTATATAATATTTTTCAGAATGTGTCTTAGACGAGAAAGTTTTAATTAATTATTAACGATAATAGTCTAAAATGCGACACAATTGTTAAAAAACTTCAATATAAATAAGATTTCATGTGACATTTGGGACAAACAATAACATAACCCAACTAAATTTGATGTCAAACAAGGAGAGAGACTCTCTTTCCTTGTTTAATGTGGCCTCTAAAGATCGCACTTCCTGTCTAACAATATGTTTGCCCCCACTACCTTTACATTCCCTCTTTTGTCTTTT